CAGAAAATCTCGCTATGAGAATTTTCTCACCCAGTGTTCACTTTCTAATTCTGAAGATTTCTCAGAGATATGGAAGAGTGCTGTGTGGGTGAGTGTGCACCCCACTTCAAAGGCACTGGAAAGTACTCTTTGCCACAACATCACAGAATAAAATTTGATTCTGTTGGGTAAACAGTAATTTCAGTACCCACAAAGCTACTTACAAGTTGCAACAAGAGGAAACCGCATTTTACTGTGTAATGTGGCACATGCTCTTCTTCAGTCCCACATCCGTCCCCCCAGGTTTGACTCATCCCACTCATCATAGCTCAGCCCTCCTCAAGAATAGCAGTTTAAGTGCTCCAATTCCTACAACAGATGTAACAGCAGGAGGTCCTTCACCTTGCAAACAAACAAACAAAATAAATGGCAGTGAAAATTATTCGCGAATGTATTACGACAATGGGAAGCAAACCTTTTGCAAGATGTTCTTTTTAAGTCCTCTGAGAGCTCGCTGTGACTGTGTTCTCTCACCAGCCCCAATGACCTCGTGATACATCGCCCTCCTTCAGAGCAAAGCTGGGCTCTCCCAACAGCTTAGGCAGCCATGTTATAGGGGTTGATTCTGCTTTGAGCTCAAGCAGCCCCTAATACTCACCAAATCTCAGGTGCATCTCGGCATTGTCGTGCTCCTCCAAACTGCAGTAATCCCCCATGATTGACAAAGACCCTTCTGTCAGTGCTTCCCCACCTGAATGCACAGGCACTGACCCAAACCGTCCTCCCAGCCATTCTGATTCCATCTGGGCCCACACTGCCCTTGAGTTCTCCCTGGTAGGCCCAAAACAATGAACACTTGGTCGACAGGCATCCAGTCTCACTCTAACAGGTGTTTCAGAATGTTGGATGAAATCTAAGTAAGGGATGCAAAGAGCCTGCAGGAACAGATTTGCACTTGGGTTCCTGGGCCTGCTTGCAGTCAGCACATCAATGAACATTTGAGGCCCACGTCCCCTGATTTAGAAAATCTCAGGCAGGGAAAGCATCAGGAGCCCCTGGGCTAACAGGTCTCCTCCTGCCGCGGTGTCAGGGCGCCTTCTCTCTTATCTCAGCAATGCTCCTCTCTGGTACATGGCGAGGATAATATCCCAGGCAAAAGGAAACCACGGTGTACTTTTTTTAACTAAGAAATTTTAAAGACCTGATATGTTAGTGCGGTAATCTAGAGAGAAGGAGACCGTGACTTTTTATTTACATAGGAAAGTGAAATACAGGTTCCAGAGTCTTGAGTTTCATCTTCTGAAAAGATCATAGAATATGGTACAAGGTCAGACTGGCATGAAATCAGTTGTAATCTGCCAGCAAGCCATTCTAACCTCTTTAAGAGTTTCCTTTTATATATATATATATATTTTTTTTCCCTTTATAGAGAGAGCAAAGTCCATTTAAAGAAAGTCTCATCAAATCAGAATCTCTTTCTAAGATGATTTTTTTAATTGGCTGCTACTGTAGTGTGACCTAAAGCCTCCTGGTATTTAACCCTCCGTGCGACATTGACCAATGGACGAATTTTGTCTGCTGGAGTAGGCTTGCTAAACGTCTTTTACGGGGTTTTTAAAAAATTACAGTGGATTATGAAAACCTCAGATCCCTCGACCTAATTTATTAGCTGTTGGTGGTACCATCTCTGTGACTGTAATGTTCCATGAGTGCACAGACCTAACTATTTTTCTTATTTTTATATAGCAGTTCCATTTTATAGTGACATTAAGCCATTCTGCAGTACATTTCTAGACAGTTATTGCACTTGGGCAGAAAGTGTCATCTGGCTTTTAGCCTTGTGCCTTCCAACACCAACCGAGGCGTAAAATGATCACCCAGAAAATGTTCTGGGCCTTACCTCATTACTTAGAAATAAATCTTGGAGTCTGGTCCTGTTTCAGAAAAGATTTAGTGGGTTATAACGTTTGATTTATGGACATAATTAAAATATAAATGATGAGCTTCTGGGCTATTCAATCAACCATCTGGAGTGTTCAGTATTTTGACATACTCGGATTGTGGTCAGGATTATCCTGGGAAAATTTAGCAGCCCTGGGTTCTAGAGGTGCCAGTGGAGCCCCAGGGTTTCTATTCCACCTGTTGGGAAGGCTCAAGTTCCTCTTTCAGGCCAAAGGGGGGGGAATTGAATTTGTTTTTTAAGTTTCCTTCACCCAGAGATGGATCTTGGCACACAGACCCTCTATTTGGCTCCTAGGCTGGGCGTGAAGATAGCTCAGCTGCCCACGGTCGAATAATATGCCCGTAAATACTGCCTGTGTCAACAGAGGAGGACATTTTTCTGTATAATACAAGCAAGATTAATGTTTACCTTTCCAGCGACCTATTAAGGTGACTGTGGCAGCTGTACCCATAAGTAGATGGTAGATGTTTCTCCAGAAACCTAGAGAGTAAATTGGGAAAATCAGTTATCAAAATTGAAGGTGTATTTCCTATGGCTTAGTGTATGATTTTTTTACACGTAAATTCCAGGTATAGCAAGGCCTTAGCTTGTTATTCCTAATTTATGTGAGTAATTGACAACTGGCAAACAGCCATTAGGAACATAAAAAGCATTTAACTAAAACAAACTCAGTGGTACTGAAAAGGCAGGGTGAATAGATTTTCAACACCGTCTTTATTATTAATGGAAGTTGAGCGTGTAAAAACCCTTAGTGCACTGTGCCGAAAAATATACTCTCTCTGTTTGCTTGTAAATTACGCAAAGGAGAAAAGAGGACAAAAGAGCCTTCCACATTGGCCAGCAAGCCTTCTGCTTCTCCTTAATTAATGGGCCGAAGTCAGCAGTGCATGGAAAATGTAGACCTTCTGTGGATCAGAGATTAACCTATAAGAAAATGTTACGTTTCAGCCCAAATTTGGGGCTTTAAAGTTAGGTTTCCTCAGAATGGTTCCTGGATAAGGATGACAGAGGTTCCCTAACCAGAAACTCCAGAAGTGTTGCTGTTTCTGAGCAGGGGAGCCGGTATTTTGTTGTCTGTGTTTTCAGTGGCATAACCTTCTACCATTTTTTTTTTTTGATATCTTGTGGGTTGTTTTTTTTAATAAACTTTACCAACTAGCTCTGTGTGCAAGTGTATTATACCACCAAAAATAATAGACCCACATATGTCACCCAATGGTTGTATTTAGCCTACAGTATTGTCTGTAGCTCTCAAAGGTGGGTGCCCAGGACACTTGCCCAGCAGCCAGTGCTCATTTAAGGTCATCCTGTTTATCCTTTTTGAGTATTTTTGCCTTTCTTTAATGATTAGCTTCCCCACCCAGCTATCAGTATCTGGAGACCTCTAGGCCATTTTCCTCTTAAACATTGCCTTTGCCAACAAGTCTAAGAATAGAATCGTGTTACTTTCAGGGGTCAGCTGGAGCTTTCAGTCCCAGTTAACTTATGTTCACTGGCAAGTGACTTAGCTCCTCAGGAAGCATTACCAATTCAGTGTACAGTGCCCACCAATGTACAAGAAGCCTCTCTTAAAAGGTTTTGAATGCCACGTGGTTTTCAGAGACAGAAAGATCCAGTGCTAATAACACGACTGTAAAAATACATCCAGAAAACAGCCATCCCTAGAGAGGACCTCGTGCGGCTTGTTTGGCTGTGTACAGGTAGAGGTGGTTGAGCCCCGCCATATTTCTCTTTGCTCCCTGATACCATAGGGTGAATGATAATGAGCGAACCACTGCTTGTAAAAGGCCAAGGGGCTGTTGTTTGGGTGGTGTGATTGTCCGAGAAAGTAAAGTTATGGCAATTGTTTTGACCTTTCAGCCAACTGATGTCTTGCCCTCTCACATTTATTACCTCTTGGGTACATTTCCAAAAATATACATTTACAAAGTCATGAAATTAAATGAGAAAAATGATTTAGGGATTAATAGCTTATTAGTTCAGCAAAGGGGGAAAAAAAACCCTCCCAATTCCATTCAGGTTTTATTTGTAAATGTATTTGTGTGTGTATCTAAGTTAATTCCAACCCCTCCCCCTTCCCTCCCCATTCCCTGTACCTCCTAGCGTTCCTCTCTCATACCCACAGCCCCACAAACTCACAAACACAGTTTTTAAATAGCTAGTGGAAATAAGAATACCCACATCACTAAAGTATTCACTTACGCCTAGGAATACATCACTTAGGAATACCTAAATACCTGACTGCATTAGGAAGCTATACTCGGTATACTTGGCTTTAATTATGGATTGCCATTGGGAAATGTGGGTTTGAATCAATAATCCCTCCAAACATACATTTCATGGGGCTGCCTCTCATTATGCTACCTCTATGACCTTGGACAACCTACATCATTCTCTAGGTACCAATGTTCTCGTCCCTAAAACTGGGCTTTTTCCACCACCAAGGACGGTTCCTACCATAGTAGACTCGGTAACCGTCAGTTTCCTTCCTTCTGATATGTTTATGTTGAGCCATCATAGAGTTTCATTAGGGGCCACCAAAGCCTCCCAGTTCTTTATTCTTAGACATTTGAGTGGAATTCAGAAGTTTTGCCTTTCCCATTTGAAAACAAGAGCACAGAAGTGGCAAACTTATTAATATGCAGTGTCACAACATATTGTCACATAGTAATATATGATCTATGATAAAATGTATCAGTTCTGAGCACCGCAGATATCTGTGGCTTCACCTCAGCATGAAGGCAAATGAGTTTCCTTTAGCTTGAGTGAGTCTGGAGATAAACTTAAATGTAACAAAATGTATTTCACAGGAAATGTTTGATGTGGCGTGGTTGGCTTATGAATCTCTTATCTATTTGTGGTTCGCTTCTTAGAGTTATTAGTCAGTTTAATTTGAGCAAATGCCAGGATTACTTACTAATTAGAAGGATTTTACTGAAGGCATGAGGATGAGAAGCGCGTGAGTGCTGGTAGTATGGGGTTTGTGACAGCGTGCAAGTCTGGTTCTGCCTGATGATATCATTTGCTAAACATTATACTTTGTGTTGTTGTCACACAGATAAGCCTCAAGTGCATATTCAGATGACTTATCCTCTACAAGGCCTAACCCGGGAAGGGGACGCGCTTGAGTTAACATGTGAAGCCATCGGGAAGCCCCAGTAAGTTCTGAAGGCCAAGGTTGGCAGAGGGTCAGGAGCAGTAAATGTCACAACACACAGATGTGCGTTCACAACTCATTGGCCTGTCACCTGTCTCCTGCTGTAAAGGATGGAAGATTTTTCAGGAACTAAAAGAATATTCAGTGAAAAGGGGAATAAATATCTGTGGTTCTTAAGGGTGAAGATTGGGAGGAAAATGAAACGCCAGCTAAGATTGAAATCTCAGCGAATTCTCTTTTATTATCATCAACATGACTGTCAGAACTATTTTCTCTCACCCACATAAAATAATCCTAATAAATTTGGAGTGTGCCCACAATCTAATGATATGTCTGCTACCTTCTGTGTTAATGTCTAACTAAGCTGTTGGAAAGATGGTTTTCAGACTTAAATTAAGCTGCTGTGTGTAGGGCCAGCTGTAGGCAAATGAATTTGCCTTACTTTTCATTTTGCTTCTTCCCTCAAGGAAAAGTGACTACTAGAAATAGTTTTGTTAGTGAGGAATGGTTTGGGAATTTTTCTCAAGGAATATGTATACATACTGCATAGGGAAAAGACTCGCACTCTTATCGAAAAGTGTAAAAAAAGCTACTTCACTTGCCCCTGCTAAATTAATGAAAGTGAATTCGAGAAACTACATGTATTATCACTAATAAAGCAAAAGCCATGTGGTGGTACCACTTTAGCTATTCTTCCATTTTGTTTGGGGAGGAGGAAGAATCCTTTCATCTTTCTAATAGAGTGAAAATTGTTTTTAACTGTTTCCGAGGGAAAAAGCAATCCATTTCACGTGGAACAACAGGTCAACGTAGTGATGGGGAGCAGTCAGATTTTATTGGCCCCCAACAAAAACCAGCATTGAGCTCCCTCTGCTGTCCCCTCGCTATGATTTTTTTCCCCCTCTCAGAGTTTTGCAAACTAGCATATTCATACAAGGACCTCAGAGCATTTGCGCAAAGCTTCCCCCAAGTCTTCGGAAAGAATTCTCCCCATGACAGCTAAGCGCTGATCTCTGAGAGAACAGAGAGCCGGAGGGGAGCCTGGCTGCAGTAGGCTGTCTTCCCACGTCAGCCCTCCCTATTTTGTGTGTCCTTCTCCAGGGGCGAGGATTTGCTTCTCTCTCTACTCACTGTTTGGAGTTGTAAAGATGGCCTTTAGGAAGGAGGAGATGGTCTTGCTTCTGCTTCGCTTTTCCTTGGGTGTTTTGAAGTTATTTGGTTTTAAGTACTTCCAGCTTTACCAGAGCAGTCTTCTGCTTTGAACACTGCAAAGGATTCAGCTCTTTCTTTGTGTAAACTGTTTGAATTAGGCCCCAGGTAGCAAATTGCCTTCCTTCCAAAACGATCCAGTGGCAAAAAAAATAAATTCTCTCAGGCCTCTTGCCACTTACAGTACCAGCCACATTAACTACATTGACGGTCTATGGCTTGCTAACCTCTATTTTGTTTCTATATTTTTTTCCCCTGAAGAAGGTACTGTGTTCAGTCGCATGTGCCACGGGGACAGTAAATTGTATGTTTCCTTCGGGACATTGATGCCAGAGAGGGTATTTGCTTGTTCCTCTCAAATCGGCCCGGGTCCACGGTTGTCTGAGAAAAGCACGGGTTACTTGACTGCTAGCCCTTCTAGCATATCACCTATTTATTTTCTCAAGAAATTGCATACAGTAAAAATGGTAATTTAACTTGCCGTTAAATGCCGTGAATGCTCTCAGCATTTACCCCCACTGATGGTTTCAAGCAGCGGGACAGTAGGTCTGATTGCCAGGCAGAGCCGTTCGCCATTGCCTGCGAGGAAGACGGATGCAGGGCTGATTTTAAAATAATTTATTGGGTTGTGATAACAAACCCATGTGTCATTAAAGAAAGACTGTGACTTCACATCCCATTGGAAAACCGGAATGCTACTTGACAGGGCTGTCTTGAGTGCCCATTCTTATGAAGCACGGGTCTTTGGTTCTGATGCTGCTCCTAGCGGTAGTGCAGAAAATGAAAGGAAGCTGCTTCTGTGCTCGAATCTCTGTGGCCCTGCCTGGGAAATGGTAGCTTTCAGGCCCAGCCCTAGATGTGGCCTCGATTTCATAGGGGCTGCCTTGAAGGACTATAAATTCACTGAGTTTGAAAAAGACTCGGTGTGTGTGCAATTTGGGCCCTGGAGCATCTTGTGAAATTTGCTTTTTCCTGATGGATACAAATGTGGTCTTTAAATCACGAAAATAAACTCCCCTCTGATGAGCAAGTGCCATAGGACCCCAGGAGTTCACGTGGAGTTGCTGTCGCTCCACAGCCATTGATCTGGGAGCCTGTCCCTCGAGCTGGGGGCCTGCAGGTGCACACACAGGGGAAGGGGAGCAGTGTGAGGGCCTTGGAGAGCCAGGGAAGACAGGCATTTTGCCAAGGAACACATAGATAAGGTGGCTTGGGGCCTCGGAAGGTGCGGTGGGGTCTTGGGTTGGTGGAGGGTGTGTTATGGGTAGGGGGTAAGGGGACAGGAAGTGATTACATCTTTCCAGAATGAGAAGAGGTAATTTTTTTTCAAACAGCAGAGGCCAAAGAAAGCACTGTTCAGCTGTAAAAGTCCACTCCTTTCTGTGAAACTCGAAATCCACTTAAATATCACAACTTTCTATGCCACTATCTCGGCGTGTTAGTAACCATGAGATTAATGCATGTATCACTAGCCCAGGATTTGATTTTTTTCCCCCTAATTAATGAGATGATTAACAATGGGTGAGCTCTGTCCTGTCTGAATTGGTGTGAAAGCACACAGCAGGGCATAAAAATAGGGCACATTAGTTTATTTGCTGATTTGTTGAAGATGAATTGGAAATAATGAGACTCCTGCTTCTGGTCTGTTGAAAGTTTTTCAACACCTGATAATATTTTTTAAAAAATGATATTCCAAACAGATTTGTGAAGCCTTCACAGCTGTAATTCTCTGAACTTAAAATAAGTCCTCTTTAATTGTGTCATCCTGCATGGGATTCATTTACTGTGTGGGTGAGAGGTTTGATGCAGACATCTTGGTGGGAAATCATAATGCACCCTGTCTCTCTCCCATTCCCTCTGCAGGCCTGTGATGGTAACTTGGGTGAGAGTCGATGATGAAATGCCTCAACACGCCGTACTGTCGGGGCCCAACCTGTTCATCAATAACCTAAACAAAACAGATAATGGTACATACCGCTGTGAGGCTTCCAACATAGTGGGGAAAGCTCATTCGGATTATATGCTGTATGTATACGGTACGTGAGAAGACGAAGCCCTCTTCCATTTGACTCATTTATTATGTAGCTGCTGCTTGTGATTCACTCCTAGAGCTTTTGGTCAAGTTGAAAACCAAAAAAAAACAGTTTGTTTCCTTCAAGAATTAAAGAAGCCTGGCCCAAGGTGGACCCCAGTGCTACCACTAGGAGGACAGCAACTTTTCTTCTCCCCTTCTAATCCTGGGGGCTTCCCTCTAGATCACAGGCTCTGGTCATGCTGAGTAGGAAAGCTCTGTCCTCAGGCGCACGCTATGGAGATTATGTTAGAAATAATGACTGCGAAATCCAACCTTACCAATTAATGGCTTTTCAGCTCAGAAAGTCTATTCCCAGTGGTATTTTCCGATGATACCTGGGCTAGCCTTTCTGCTTTGATGAGCACAACTATCCTCCTTTCAGCGTGAAGCTATTACATTCCATATGTCGCAAGCCCGCAAATACTTGGGAAAAAAATAGAAGGTCCTTGGTAGCTCTGTGAACCACCTATAGCTACTGCTTCAGACAGAAGTGCTTTTTAAAAAAATTTGTCTGTTTTCTTAATATCTTTTTGCAGGATTATTAAAGCAATGATCATGAATTTCACTTTCTAGTCAACAAATATTTATTGTGCACCTACTTGTACCAGCCATTTTAAACTTACTTCCCATTTTATAGCTCATGGTCAATTTTGTGTCTGGTGAATATTCTCTGTTTAGTTGAGGAGTGCACTGCCTGTCTAGCCTTATGATGACGAATTGAGTCTCTTCTGTCCAGTTGACTCTCTCGGTTACTTTTACACCAGGAAAAATAGTCATGAGCTGACATGACACAGAATGAGTAACCATAGGCATGACAATTTCAGTATCTTGTAAATATATGAACACGTGTGTGCATTTCTCTCTTCATGTGAGCCATGTAAATAATCCAAGTGTAAGTGTATGTGAATATACACATATACACATGTAAATCTACATATGGGATATTTACACCGTAACGTCTTAGAACCTGGCCACTTTCCTTATGAAGAAAACAGGAGTAACGGTCTCTTTGATGAAATAGAAGCATGCTTTACCTCATATCTACATGGATATTAAAATATAATCCTTAGCCTGTACCTGAGTTTTGTTTTCCTTAGCATAATGCAAAGTTAAAGGCTCACATCTGATCACTTTACGTATAGACTTCTGAGGTGTGATTTCTTTGCACACTACCCATGTTGTCTGCGGTCTACACATAATAGCATTAATTCTCCCTGGTAGTTAAGGAGATCAGAGTGAAGGGAATGGCTCTCCGTGTAGGTGCAAGGAGGTGCCGAGTGCCCCTTTTCCAGCCATCCCCCTTTTGCTTCTACATCCCTCCCATGCTCAACATCAGGGTTTGAGCCTCATGCGAGGCCCCAGCCTTGCTGTTATCCAGGTTTACAGACGACTTTCATTCAGCTCTTTTTTAAAACGGCAGATTATGAAAAGCAGAGACAAATTTCCACCAGTCTATTATGTGCTTCCTTGATTCAGAAGACTCAGTTATCTGGAAAAAACAATTTTGACTTATTGTACCCACTGTTCCGACATCTCAAGATGAGAAGCGTTTTGTGGATTTGATAGATAGATTTGAATAATTTTGGATCCTAGCTCTGGCTAGCATTTATTGAGGGCTTGCTCACTTCGTTCCATGCGCTAGGGTGACAGTTTTACATGCACGATCACCTCTGCTCTCCACGATAACATGACGAGGTAAGCGCCATCATCATCCCATTTTACAGATGATAAAAGGAAGCTTAGAAAGGTCACATAAGTTGCCCAAGTTCACATGGTTACTAAATATGTTTCAGAGCCACGATAACTTTGACTCTAAAGTCTACAGTGAAATGTGTGTCTTTCTTTGTAGTTTCTCTTACTCTCTCTGCTTCCCGGTAGAACAGTTCCCTCCAATGCAAGATTGTCGTTTGGGAATGAACTCGCTGGGCCAGAATGCATTATTTGAAAGCCAGGAAACAGAGACTGCCCATGTAGGCAAGCACATCTACCTCCACCTATCTCCCCAACCCAAGATGGTGCACTTCGCCTGGTCTAGGAATTTGCTAGATCCACAATATGCTACCTCCCTCCCGTAACCTGTACTAGCAGTAATGCTTGGGATGACAGGCTAGAACACTCACCTGAGGTGTTGCTTGTCTAGTAATAAAATATTCTAGCAGTTTGAGAAGATGGTGAGTAGGTTTTCTTTTCAAAGCCAATTTATTGTCCTACTATAGTAGCTTTCAAAGTTCTTTATGAACTCAGAGTTAACACGCTTTTAAAATGTTTAATTCTCTAGAGGTAACTTCTATACTTGGCGAATCTATGTGGTTAGCGCCTGAGCCCCAGTTGGTTTTGTTCTTTTAGCGTCTATGTGTCAAACATAGCTTATTAACTCCAACTCTGTATTTTCTTAAATAGTGACCTCACGTTGCTCTTATCGCTAGAAATGATCTAGGCATTACACCTGGTAACGGAATCTAATTCATTTAGGTCACTTGAGCCACATGTGAAGGACAAGTTACCCCAGTAGTGATGAAAATAATTGGAAGTGTGTGATTTTCACAAAATGAAAGGAACTAGTGACCTTTTTTCTGAAGTCTCTGCCCTCGTTAGTCAGTCTCTGTTCCACTCCTGTTGGTAATGGTAATTTCAGATCACCTTCAGGTGCACTTTGATTGTATTGTGGACATCGCACATTTTGTGCCAATACTTTTTGAAATAGAGACAGAAATAGCATTGTAGCATACCAGCTACAGATGTTCCTTTTCAGTGATAAATATTGTCATTGAATCAGAACAGAGAAGGCACATCTCTGGGTACAGCTGAATTGGGGCGTGGAGAGAGCAGGTTGTCTTCAGGGACCGGTGCCCCTCGGTCACCTGCGTCCCTACCTGCACCTGTACCTGCACCTGCCGCAGGATGTAGGTGCATCCAGTGGTCTCCCAGGTCACAAAATGCTTCCCCACCTGTGGCCTCCATAAGAAAGTACTCCAAAAAGCAAGACTGAACGTGTACTGTCCGTTCTTCTTCTAACAAGGTAGTTTGAAATTATGAATCATTTATACTTCTTGGAAGAGAATGAGATTTTTTTTTTTAATGGATTCTTTTTTTGCACTCATGTGTGAGGCTGCTTTCAATAGTCGTTTAAACTGCTGGCATCCCCAACTTCAATGAACAGAGTCTCCCCTAAAACAGACAGGTTTGCTCTTGATTCTTCCCTGTCAAATCCGTGCATTTGTGTACGTGTGAGAGAAGTTCGTGAGGAAAATTAAAATTGATTATTGATCAACGGTGGGAATCTTTTAAGCAGACCTCATAACCAAACGCCAAGATAATGTTTTCGTAAACTTCCAGGAAGTTCCGCCAAACCCAATAAAGACACGTATATAATTAAAGTTTGGATGTATTAATTAGACAGTCTGAGAGCTCACTTGGAGATAAAAGGACACCAGATGTGTCAGGGAGAAAAAGTTGACGGGCGTTAGATAAAATTTAAAATCAAAAGCCTTCAAATCGTCTTACGCTCTATTATAGCAGAATGATTGCTTAGGTCAAAGTCTTGCTGACAATTTAACACATTCAGTTTGATCAGTTGGGCTGAGATTTTTTTTTTCTCTTTCATATTTGCCTTCTCTTTTCCCCCAAATAATTTTGGAGATGACAGAAGAATATACAGTATATCAGACACCTGACAGAGGATTCCCTATCGGATTCCTGTCTTGGAGGGTTAAGCCTTTTTTACATTTAATTCTCTTGTTTACAAGCTGGAAACATTCTTCAGTTTTATCATTGTCGCCCACGTAGGTCAGGCTTGAGCAAAGGCAACGAACTGATTAATCTTTATAAGTTGTAAAATTTATTGACTTTTAGAAAATAAAATCTCAGTAAAATCTCACATGCCTGGAACTTGATATTTAGTGGTGACATTCTCTCTTCTGTGTATTTATTACAAGTATAGAAGTAGTTTTACTTCCTGCTGGGATGTATTGATGGAGAATAATGACGTTAACAGTCAGAGACCAAGAGGCAGGCGCACACTTTCCCTTGGCCTATAGGAGCCCTTTAGATAGATCAGCGCCATCTCCTCCTTTCTCCCACCGGTGAAAGCATAAAACGAAATGACAACCGTCGGACCCTCTCAGGGGCTGAGTTGGTCTAACCTCACCCTTTGAAATCGGATGGGGGTGGGGGGGGCGTGTCATATGTTTTATTTTTCCTCCCTTCTCTACTTCTCATCACCTCATCCCTAGTTCACTTCATTGATACAAATCTCTTTTCTTTTTTTTAAAAATTTTTAAAATTTATTTTATTTATTTATTTATTTATGGCTACGTTGGGTCTTCATTGCTATGCGTGGGCTTTTCTCTAGCTGCGGCGAGCGGGGACTACTCTTCGTCGTGGTGCGCGGGCTTCTCATCGCGGTGGCTTCTCGTTGCAGAGCACGGGCTGTAGGTGTGCGGGCTCAGTAGTTGCAGCGCGTGGGCCCAGTAGTTGTGGCTTGTGGGCTCTAGAGTGCAGGCTCAGTAGTTGGGGCGCATGGGCTTAGCTGCTCCACGGCATGTGGGATCTTTCCGGACCGGGGCTCGAACCCGTGTCCCCTGCATTGGCAGGCGGATTCTTAACCACTGCGCCACCAGGGAAGCCCCCAAATCTCTTTTCTTCTTTTCTTAGCTCTTCCGAATAAGGCCTTGGGTTATGATTATAAGACATAAATTTTTGCGGGGCTGGGGCGGCGGGGGGAGTCTTTGGTTTTTAAAGGGAGAAGTCATCAAACAACATGTCAGCGTCTTCACGCCTTTGTTGTGTCGTTACTGATCACCGCTGTGCTCAGCATTGTGGGTTTGATTCTCCTTTTTTTCTTTATCCAGATCCCCCCACAACTATCCCTCCTCTCACAACAACCACCACCACCACCACCACCACCACCATCCTTACCATCATCGCAGGTATGGTACCTTCATTGCCATTGCAGATGTCCTGAATGTACACTGTCTTTCTGGTATGTATAACAAGAAGCCTAAAAGGCCCCTTTAACTCCTTGGAATGGAATTATTCCTTTATTTGGGAACTTGAAAGACATTAGATGCTGTGTTCTCAAGTCGACTCTTAAGGACCTCAGAAAAGACTTTAACATCCAAGCATTTAACAGTAGATCAGATATTTTGCAGAATTCTTTTTTAAGCATCACCATGCAAAGAAAAATGCTAGGGGGGAAATGGCAGCCTGGCTCTTAGAGAACACGCGGATAGCTTGTGCTGAGCCACGGTTGACGAAATGGTAAGTATCCCGGCTTTGGATCTTCTTCTTGCCTTAATTTCATCTTAATCCACGTGAAGGAAAATACACACCCTTTAACATGTCCACGTGGGCCATGTTCCTAAATGCATCATCCTTCCTGCCCCAGAGAGTACCCACTGACCGTGTGTCACCTGGGGAGTCACTGTCTGTTCCACTCTGGGCATTCGAGTACCCCTTCCTGCCCTCCGTTAAACACTGGAGGAGCCACTGCAGTTGTCACTCTGTGGTTTAGCTCTTTGGACTGTCTGAAACTCCTATTCAAAGTGAGTTTCGCGGTCTCCTTTTGCTGACCGTCACTGAGGGAGGAGGTTATGTCCTCCAGCCCCTTCCTGGTTGGTCCCCAGCGGCTCTCAGTGCTTGATGTCGCTTGTCCGGGAGACTTGTTGTCTTCTCTGCCGACCAGGGTGGGAAAGGTTATGGCCGCACCACGTCGACTAGACGTGCAAGATTTCCTTAGGTAAGGCCATCCTTTACATTGACTTTCCGGAGACATTTTCAGTTTCCACAGGAGTTGGTGTGATAGACATGATGAAAATTCTAAGTGTTCAGTGAAAGAGGAGGCCTCATCGGTTTATGAAATATAACAATAGATTGTCTAATTTCAGTTTTCTTCACCTTTCTATCCATTAGAGTGGAACAAAGAACTTTTAAATAAGCCACTAGAGAGCATGGTTCTGAATGATGTTTGCGAAAACATCAGTGCCTGCACTTAATTGAAAAGCTTCTGAAAATCCATCAGTTGGTTTTTGTGTCTCACCCTAAACTCGGCTCCATCCAGGCTGCTTCCTAAATTCTTGTCTGTGTGTATTTCCCTTTTAGCTTTTTGTTAGTTTCTTCTGCTTCTTAAGTAAACTCAGTTTGTTAGCAGTGCCAGAGATTCCTCCCACTTTCTGCATCCTTAATAAGCGCAACAAAGATGCTCCTCCCTGACTGATTTCCAGAGCAACCATGCTAACAACTTTCCTTGCTGCGGACCAGGTGTTTACCTTTCATGATTTCTTACCTCTTATCCGGGTGGTAAACCAATTAAGCTTGAGCTGCTGTTACCAGGTTTTCATAGTTTCCTATGAACGGCCCTTTGGATGTCAGTGTAAATTACACCACCCCTTTCGCCACTGCTCTGCAGGTGTGAACCCATTAAGAAAGCCCTTCTGTGGTCTGTTTTGTCTTTGCAGAAGTTGTCTTCTGCAAAGAAGAAGGCTGGTGTGAGCCAGCCTTGATTACCTCTCCTTGTAGAAGGTTCCGTCTAGGTAGCTAGTCAGGTTTACATTTTAAGGCGGTCAAGGCCTTCATTCATTCGGCATAAATACCACATTTCTCTCTTTTTTTTTTTTAACATCTTTATTGGAGTATAATTGCTTTACAGTGGTGTGTTAGTTTCTGCTTTACAACAAAATGAATCAGTTATATATATACATATGTTCCCATATCTCTTCCCTCTTACGTCTCCCTCCCTCCCACCCTCCCTATCCCACCCCTCCAGGCGGTCACAAAGCACAGAGCTGATCTCCCTGTGCTATGCGGCTGCTTCCCACTAGCTATCTACCTTACGTTTGGTAGTGTATATATGTCCATGCTTCTCTCTTGCTTTGTCACAGCTCACCCTTCCCCCTCCCCATATCCTCAAGTCCATTCTCTAGTAGGTCTGTGTCTTTCTTCCTGTCTTACCCCTAGGTTCTTCATGACATTTTTTTTCCCTTAAATTCCATATATATGTGTTAGCATACGGTATTTGTCTCTCTCTTTCTGACTTACTTCACTCTGTATGACAGACCCTAGGTCTATCCACCTCATTACAAATAGCTCAATTTCGTTTCTTTTTATGGCTGAGTAATATTCCATTGTATATATGTGTCACATCTTCTTTATCCATTCATCCGTTGATGGACACTTAGGTTGTTTCCATCTCCTGGCTATTGTAAATAGAGCTGCAATGAACATTTTGGTACATGACTCTTTTTGAATTATGGTTTTCTCAGGGTATATGCCCAGTAGTGGGATTGCTGGATCATATGGTAGTTCTATTTGTAGTTTTTTAAGGAACCTCCATACTGTTCTCCACAGTGGCTGTATCAATTTACATTCCCACCAACAGTGCAAGAGGGTTCCCTTTTCTCCGCACCCTCTCCAGCATTTATTGTTTGTAGATTTTTTGATGATGGCCATTCTGACTGGTGTGAGATGATATCTCATAATGGTTTTGGTTTGCATTTCTCTAATGATTAGTGATGTTGAGCATCCTTTCATGTGTTTGTTGGCAATCTGTATATCTTCTTTGGAGAAATGCCTATTTAGGTCTTCTGCCCATTTTTGGATTTAATATGGAACAGCACTTTTCATTTGTGGCTGGCCTCTCACTAGCTTAGTCTTTTTTAAAAAAGACCTTTCTTAACTCCTCCCCCCTCACCATCAATCTCAGAGACTCAGTAGAGGCGCTTCAGTTCACAGCTCCTAAACCTTCACTCCAGACTAAAGCTAATCTCACGTCTTCAAACAGCTACAACCCACTGTTATCACAGTTACAACCACAGAGACTCCATTTAAGAGGAAATTTTAAAAACAAACAATGCTATGTTTCTGTCCACATCACAGGTACCTTTATAGGGACTTGTCTTCTCCTCTTCCTCTCCTCCTGGCCTCTTTGCTCAAGGTAATATAAGATGATCTCATAGGTGCACTTTGGCCTCTTGATGTTAGCAGCTGAACCTGCTCTACACACAAAATGCATTTGTGGTGATGAATGCCCTGATTCTCACTGGCACACCCAAGAGTCGTTACACTAAAATTGCCACTAAAACAACATTGTAGAATCCACTGCCTTAATGGATATGATCTTACAGGCTTGCTGTGTCTTAACAAGCAGTCTTATATATATTTATCTTGCCCAGAAAGTGTACTTGTGGAATTTAACATTTGGTCCTTTCTTCAAACAGATTAAAGGTTATGGAGCTGAATGATTCCGTGTAACATTTTAAAGGTCCAGGCTATCCCCTAGATTTAGATTGGTTCCTAAGAAATCTTCCAGACTGAATCCTGACAAATGGAGAGCTAAATTAATCTCCACTCTTCTCCTCTCTTGTACTGTTTGGTACATTACAGCCACCATTAGCCTTAAAAGCTTCAACAGCTAAATCTAGTGATACTAACATAAAGCCTCAGCTTAAAATGAAACTACGAGGAAGAGGAAGCCCACGGGCATCTACTTCTTTTCTCCCAGGCAAATGCAGTGACTGAAACCCATTCCCTAGGTCAGCGTTTCATTACAAGAAAAACGTACAAATTGTTTTTAAATGCAATCGAAAAATGTTTTTAAACTCGAAAGGTCATAGTTGATTTCTGATGTCTCTGAAAGGAAGTGTTCCAGTGTTATCTTTTATCTTTCATAACCAGAATAATTGAATTGTTCTCCCTGTTAGGGAGGCAGGCCTTTGTGAGTTCCCAGTCGCCTGACTCCCTCAAAATATGTTAAATCTTCATCCTGGAGGCCCTTGAAAAAGAGGAATTGTAAGCCCAACCTGACCCGATGCTGCCCACCCATAATCACAGGTGGGTGGGAGGAGCAGGGCGCCTCTGCCTCCCATCCGTCCTGCATGGGGAAGCTCTCCTGACTTACCTGTGAAGGCCACATCTAAAGGTAGATTCACCTGCAGAAGATTTTTGCAGGCTCTAGAGTACTGAAAGGAGTATTTGATGTCAATTTGCCATATCAACATTGTTATGGTTTTATAACTGTTCAGCCACTAATGTCATTAGAATCGCTTTCCAAATAAGAAACCATCTGAGGGATAAAATTGGGATGGGAGCCACGCAGAGCCTCCTGTGATTTCCCATAAGATTCTTTGGTGTCTCTGTTCTCTTTCATGTACGTTAATCTTCTGACCATATATTTCTGTTTTGACTATTGCTACTGGCAGACCCCCACTCCCTTTTTTTTTTAATATCAAGTTGTCCACGTGGTTTCACTCATGAAGATATATGCTATATTATAGGAGAGCAAAATGCCTAATTTAAATTGCACTTTAAATCCATCCCCGGCATCCTCTGTGAAAATACAGAGACAGCCAACCATTACCGGGGTAAGAGGCCTCCATGCAAATTCCTTTCAAAACCCAGAATCAAAGAAAAGTCTACTGCCATGGGAGGGTGGGGAGGGGGGAGGGCGTTGTTTGTTTTGTTTTGAACTTTCTTTGAAATTAGTTGACTTTGTATATTAGGTGTACATAAAAATACCTGTTTTTGTGTTTGGTGATAGCTTTTGCCCCGGTCTGCCAGTTGGATCAATCATCTTAGGAAAATATTCTGTGTTTCCCTCCATAGTTAATGTGGGTATTGTTTTATTTCTGCCTGGTTTTGCCCTGAGTTACATGCTTGATGAGAAGTACCATAGAAAACACTCAGCACTCAGTTTTAAACACCCTTAGCAGCTTAAATATAAAATTCAGGCCAGGAGGAGCTCAACCCGTAGGTCACATTTATACATGTGACTGTCATAAATTAAAAAATTAAAATCACCTTAGAATAAGAAATGAATAGCTACAGGGCCGAATTCTGAAACACATTTAAGAATCCTTTCATAAGAATGAAGTAGGTCATTTATAAATGAGTTTTTCTCTTTTTGAAAGTCCATATCCAATTAAATATTTTGTGT